CTTAAAAGAACATCTAATTAAACTCATGAACATTTTTTTCTACACATGAGGCTACAATAAACCGACCACCACCTTAACTTTCACAGCAGTTTGCATTTCAACGTCGAGTGGGTCCTCATCGATTCTTGGCATCATCGAGTGACTCTTGCTTTCGCAGCTGCTACAACACTTGACAACTTCTAGAAACTTCTCTTCATTGTTCTCTTCTTCATCCCTTTCCTTACCCCACAGAACCGCGCATACTCCCACCATTAAAATCGCCATTCCAAGAACCCTAAAATTTCAAAGTTGGATTAAAAAAAGTTGGTAGTGTAGAAACATGATCGAATATCGAGCCATATGACCTAACCGGTGTGGTTGCTTACCCGCCAAGGTGCAAAATTTGGCCGAGGATGAGGAAGCCAATGATGGATCCGATGATGACAACAAGAGGGATAAAAGCAGTGACAAAGACAACACTCTTTTGCTTCGTCATCATCCCTTGAACGTAGTACGCTATGCTTGAAGACATTATGCCCTATAAAAGTATATATCCACACATCACATTATTAAGTATTATGATTCCATACATCACATAACTTGATATGATAAATAATTAGGAAGCAGGACGAACCGCGTAAGCAGAGGCGAGAAGGCTCATGTCAAAGCCAATGTTCCATGCACAAAGGTTTGGTTCCATCACAAACGTTAGGGCTGTGGATTGTAATGTTCCCATGAAACACACCATCGTCGATAATGAAAGGTGAGACGAGTATCTCTTCAACGTAGCTGCCTAATAAAGAAATAAAGAAAATATTGTCCTAATTAAGACTGCTTTATTTTGTTGGATATATTACATGACCACTAGTAAAGATCTACAATCCATTACTTAAAAGAATGGTTCTCAAGAGTTAGAGATCATTAGATGTAAAAATGTTTTAATTTATGTATTATAAAATGAAAAAGAAAAAATGATTTTAGTTAATTAGCATTTACCAGTAAATTTTTAAAAGAAGAACTCAAATGGAGAAAACAAAATATATGAGTACAAGGCCATTAAATTTCGGATATTCTATAATTTTCTTTAGGCCAGAAATTAGAACTTGTGAAATTAGTTCATTCCATGTCATGGATATTCAAACTCTTGATTAATCTTGAGGAATCTAATTAAGTACCTGAAGAACGAAGAAGGAAGCCCAAGAAAAGGAGGCGATGAGGAGGAAGACGGTGGCCTTGAGGTAATCCTCACCGGCCGGAGACGAAGCATCGCCGATGAAGTGAGATCGGAGATAGTTGATTAGAGGAGTTTTGAATAAAATCATCAACATGGCTCCAACCACTATCACTAATGTCCCCACCACTTTTGATTGGAATCTTACTTTTCTAATCTCCACTTTCTCCATCCTTTTTTTGTTTTCACCAAAACATTTAAATCACACATTATCAACAACGTACCATATTGTATGAATTAACCTATTGTATATATAATTAATTCATATAAAATTAAAAGTTTTAAGTACCTGCAAATCATGGTGATGATAAAGGTCAAAGCAGGCACGATATTGGTGACGGCGCCGGCAAAAATCGGTGAAGTGAGTTTAAGACCGGCATAATATAAGTTCTGATCGATCACAGGCCTATTGTTAAATAATTTACAAAAAAAAATTATAAACTTATTCATAAACACACACATCAAGCGAATGTTTTTGAAAATTTATTTAAATTAAAGAAGACTAACCCAAGAAGAGCTAGAACAAAAATTTGCATGAATATTGGAAATGTCATCTTCGGCCTCACTTTCCTACAGCACCCAAGTAACTATTAAATTTTATCATTTAAATGTTTCTATCCGATTAGAATCGATCGAACTTTATACATTTCTATGTATATATATAGATAGAAACAATATGTTACCTCTCGGAAAAAAGAGCAAAAGGTGCGATCGCGGCTGTGGCAAAGGCGTTACGATAAGCCACAAGGACGTAATGGCTCATGCCGCGGTCGAGCACAACCTTGGTCACGAGGTTCATGCCTGCGTATCCGAATTGAAGACATACCATTGCAAAGTAAGGCTTGGCTGATTCGGAAATCTTTAACCCCATATCAAAAGAAATTCTTTTTTTTTTTTTTGTCTATATATGAAGTATGGATTTCAAAAATATTTTATAGGAATAGAGAGGAGACACCACTAGTTGGAGGCTGGCTTGTGCTCTTCCTACAAACAAAAGGAGTTAGAGGTTCTTTGTATTTATAGAGCATCATATTCGGATGAGTTCGAATGCTCTTTTGTCTCTTTTCTTATAAAAAATATTTATTTAATTAATTAGTGACGTTAGCATTTTTTATTCTGTTTTCGATTCCGTAATAAATTTTTTTCTCTTTTTTGTGGAAGGAGAGCAAGAGGGATTGCATCAAATTTATTCTCAATAGGTAAAATCAGAACAAATCCGGATAATAACACGATAACTGTACTATTTATCAAAGGAAAATCGCTATCAAACTAAATGAGTAGTGTAACTATATGGCCGGCCTTGAATTCAAATACATTTAGATATGAATTTGCGTCTAAAAATCAAGACTATTTTTATTTTAAAAACTGTGCAAAACGGTTTTCTTTAGCTTACGGTCTTTTTAAACTGAAGACCGGTGTAATGTTTTAACATTTGATACATTCATGCTAAGATCAAGTGCACATAGCATCAAAATTTACCAAAAACAAAGTAAACCCGTTGAAAATTGAAATAAAAATGCATACGTAATGATCAGTAGTGAACACACAATCCCCTACAAAAATCATTACTTTTGACGTTGGGATTTTTAGGGAAAGCAATGCACGAAAACACAAGTGGACGCAGTGAGTTACAAGTGGCAACAGAAACAAAGCGGGACCCAAGCTTACGTTGTCTATGGGACCCTTAAGGTGAAATAATATCTGTGATGTTGCAAAATGCTTTGAAGAGAGGTTTTGTTTTGTGGGGAAGTATGTGATGATTGAAGTCAATTGTTTTAATCATTACTTAGTTATCAGTAATATTGAATACAAATGCTTCAATTCCAACTTGAAGAAAAAATAATCAAATAGTGAAAACAGAACTAGAAGGGTGCGACTGAAAGTCTCTTACAGAAGAAAGGAAAAGAAAATATTTTTCTTCCACAATTAAACCAATCATGTAGAAATTTATATACTCTTTATTCTCTATCCATAGAAATAAGAGAAAATTAGAAGATTTTGGTGCTCTTCAAACTTGAGGTGAAAAAATAATTCTTCCAACATTACGGGTGTGAATGGTGATTAATGTAGAGG